CATTGTTAGTGTATAAGAAAGCAACTGATTTCTGTGCATTGATTTTGTATCCTGCCACATTACTGAATTGCTGTATGAGTTCTAGTAATTTGGGGGTGGAGTCTTTTGGGTTTTCCACATAAAGTATCATGTCATCTGTGAAGGGAGAGAGTTTGACTTCTTCTTTGCTAATTTGAATACCTTTTATTTCTTTTTCCTGTCTGATTGCTGTTGCTAGGATTTCTAGTACTATGTTGAACAATAGTGGTGAGAGTGGGCATCCTTGACATGTGAAGGATGTTCAGGGGTCTTAAGGGAAAGGCTCTCAGCTTTTCCCCACTGAGGATGATATTCACTGTGGGTTTTTCATAGATGGATTTTATGAACTTGAGGGATGTTCCCTCTATTCCTATACTCTGAAGAGTTTTAATCAGGAAAGGATACTCTATTTTGTCAAATGCTTTTTCTGCATCAATTGAGAGAACCATATGGTTCTTCTCTCTTCTCTTATTAATGTGTTCTGTCACAGTGATTGATTTGCGAATGTTGAACCACACTTGCATCCTGGGGATAAATCCCACTTGGTTGTGGTGGATGATCCTCTTAATGTATTGTTGGATCCTATTAGCTAGGATTTTGTTGGCGATTTTGGAACGCATCTTCATCAGAGATATAGGTCTGGAATTCTCCCTTTTAATGGGGTCTTTGCCTGGTTTGGGGATTAAGATAATTCTGGCCTCATAGAATGAGTCTAGAAGCTTTACCTCTCTTTCTGTTTTTTTGAAAGAGCTTCAGGAGAATAGGTATCATTTCTTCTTTGAATGTTTGGTAGAATTTCCTAGGGAATCCATCAGGCCCTGACTTGATTTTTAGGGGGGTTTTGATCACTGCTTCAATCTCGTTACTGGTTATTCGCCTATTTAGGTTGTCAATTTCTTCCTGTTTCAGTCTTGGGAGTTTATAGGTTTCCAGGAAGGCATCAATTTCATTCAGGTTGCTCAGCTTCTTGGCATATAGTTGTTGATAATAAAATCTAATAATTGTTTCTGTTTCCTTGGTGTTAGTCGTGATCTCTCCCCTTTCATTCATAATTTTATTAATTTGGGTCCTTTCTCTTTTCTTTTGGATAAGTCTGGCCAGTGGTTTAGCGATCTTATTAATTCTTTCAAAGAACCA